ACTCGTTATGATCCAAATTCAATAGTGATTGTAGTTATGGTTGGAATATGCGACAACAACTTCCCTGCGAATCTTCTAGTTCTTGATGGCAAGAATTGAAAAAAACGGTGCATTCAGATGAGAGTCATCTTAAATGTTCAAGACGTGTTTGAGTATGTAGCAGAGGGACTTCAACCGTTAGCAGAAAAATGCTAATGATGCTCAGAAGGAAACATACAAGAAATCCAAGAAGAAAGATCAGAAGGCCCTGTTTTACATTCACCAATGTGCCTGCAGTCTTTGAGAAAGCAATATGAAATGCTACATATGAAAAATGACGAATCGATATCAGATTTTTTCCACAAGGGTTTAAGACTTAATCAACCAAATGAAGAATTCTTGAGAGACTTTAGTAGAGCAAATGAAGGTAAAAAAGGTAGTTCAAAGTCTCACTCCTCAATATGATATGATAATAGTAATAATTAAGGAAACCAAGGATCTGGAAACAATGAAAATGGAGGATCTACAAGGATCTCTAGAAGCCAGAGAACTCAGACTGAATCAAAGAGAGACAAATAAAGATTTTGAACAGGCCCTGATTGCTCATTCAAGAAAGGGAGACTCTGATGACATGAAGAGAAGGTGGAAGTAGGGAAAAGGAAAGAACCAGATAGAAGCCACACCAGATAGCAACAAAAAAAAAAGGAAGTTTGAAGAAAAACGACCTAGTAAATTTCAAAACAAGAAAAAGTTTCAAGACAAGAGAAAGATTTAATGCTTCAATTGTGAGAAGTATGGTCACTTTGCTTCAGGTTGCTTGTTTAGAAACGGAAAGAAAAAAAGTGGTGCAAAGGAAGCTAACATGGTGCAAGATGATTCTGATTCATATCATGTCATGTTGATGATAACTACCTCTGAAGGGGTATCAACCTCTGTTGTGTGGTACTTAGACTCTGGATGCTTTAACCACATGATTGAACTGGATGTTATAATCACATGATTGGACACAAGGGGTGGTTGACTAGCTTTAAATTAAACATGAGTACAAGTGTAAAGCTGACAGATAGTAGAAGCTTAATTGCAGAAGGCATCTGCAATTGATAGAAGATGTGTTATTTATCCCTGGTATGCAATGTAATATGCTGAGCATTGACCAACTAGTAGAGAAAGGATTCTCAGTAATCATGGAAGGAGGCTCACTGAAGCTGTATGAAAAGAAGAAAAGAATGGTTATGAAATCAACTCTAACCAGAAACAAAATCTAGAAGACTAGCTTGAATGCCTCATAATAACATCGTTTTCATTCATCAATTCTTGATGAAGAAATCTGGCTTTGGCACAAAAGGTATGGCATCTGAATTTATAAGTCTAGGCAAGCTGAATACTATAAATTTAGTAGAAGGATTGCCTGAGATAGTAATATCTGATAAAACATGTTACATGTGCATGCTTAGGAAGCAAACTAGGTTACCTTTTGTGAAACAGTTGTCAATGCATGTGTTGAATGTAGCTTCATCTGACATTTGTGGTCCTTTTGAAACTCTTTCTTGTTGAGGAAACAAGTATTTCATCTCATTTATAGATGAATTAAGTAGAATGTTGTGGGTGTACCTGATAAAAACCAAAGGAGAAGCTTTAAACATGTTCAAAATGTTTAAGGTTATGGCAGAAACACAGAGTGGAAGACTAATTAAGATACTCGGGATAGATGGAGGAGGGAAGTGCAATTCCCATGAATTCAAGCAATTCTATCATGAAAATGGCATCTTGCATGAACTAACTCCGCTTACGCACCTCAGCACAATGGTATGGTTGAAAGAAGGAATAAAAGCTTAGTCGAAATGGCTAAGAGCATCCTGAAACAAAATTCATTGCCTCATAAATTATGGGGTGAAGTAGTGTATACAACTTCTTATGTTCTGAATAGATGTCCTACCAAGAATTTATAGAATCAGGTGCTAGAAGAATGTTGGTCAGGAAGCAAGCCTTGCATCACTCATCTCAATGTATTTGGATCATTATTCTATAGACATGTTCCAGATGAAAGAAGAACCAAACTTGAGGATAAAAGTGAACCTATGATCTTAGTTGGATACCATCCAACTGGAGCATATAGGTTATATAATGCAGTCACTGAGAAATTGGTGGCTAGTAGAGATGTAATCATCAGAGAAGTAAAACTCTGGGGTTGGAACCAAGGTGGATAAATGACAAGAGTGGTTCCAATGTAGGCTTCAATGCAGTTGGATTCTGATGAAGTGAATCTAGTATTAACTGAGACTCCAGTTGATGCTGTGAATCTTGTTCAAAGGGAAAGACCAGTAAAACCAACCAGAAACAGAGAGATACCTGTAAGGCTAAATGATTATGAAATTGTGTCTGACAATAAAATGGATGAGGAAGGAGAAACAATACACTTGGAAATGTAAGCAGGTGTAGAACCACTAAATTATTAGGATGCAATGCAAGAAAGCGTGTGAAAAGATTAAATGAAGGAGGAACTTAGTTCAATTGAAAAATGTGGCACATGTAAACTAACTAAACTACTAAAATGAAAGAATTTAATTGATGTGAAGTGGATTTTCAAAGTAAAGTTGAGTCCAGAAGGAACAGTAGCGAAGCACAAAGCAAGACTTGTGGCAAAAGGGCCTCCTTTAAAGACAAGGTATAGATTACTTTGAGGTATTTGCACCAGTGGCATGGCATGAAATTATAAGACTTGTAGTGGCATTAGCTTGTAGTAGAAGGTGGACTTTGTCTTACATGGATGTAAGATCTGTATTCTAAATGGTCCTCTTAATGAAGAGGTATATGTGTCTCAACCTCCAGGCTTTGAAGCAAATGGAAAATAGCATATGATGTATAGATTGTACAAGGCTTTGTATGGTTTGAAGCAGGCACGAAGATCCTGAAACAGAAGAATTGATGTTTTCAGTTGAATATGGTGTGTAGACAAAATACAAGCAAGGTGAAATACTATTGTTGGTGTGTTTGTATGTGGATTACCTCTTAATAACTAGAGAATTTCAACTAGAAATTAAAGACCTAAATAGTACAATAAAGTCAGAATTTAAGATATTAGATCTGGGTCACTTGTCATACTTACTTGGCATGGAGTTTCTATACAAAGAAGAGGAAATAGTCTTGCATCAAGCAAAGTATGCTATTGACTTGCTGAAAAGATTCAACATGTTGAACTGCAATGTTGTTGTGACTCCCGTTGAATCGGGTCAGAAGCTGGAAGAAGATAACGATTAAGAAAAGGTAGATGCCACCCTTTACAAATAGATGATTTGATCTTTGAGGTGCCTATGCAATAATCGACCATATATAAACTTCGTTGTAGGAGTATTGAGCAGATTCATGCATGATCCAAAAAAGTCTCATCTATTGGATGTAAAAAGAGTACTAAGATACATCGAGGGAACCTTGAGGCATTGTGTATTCTTCTTATATGGAAGAAAAAGAAGCAAAGAAGAGGTGATAGGATTTTTTGATTCAGACTGTTGTGGTGACATATTGGACAAGAGAAGTACCACAAGTTATGTCTTCAAGTTTGAAAGAGCTTCAGTCTCTTGGATCTCCAAGAAGCAATCTGTTGTGGCTTTGTCTAGTTGTGAGGAAGAATATACTGCTAGTTGTTCAACTGCTTGTCAAACTACTTGGATTGAAGCTGTATTGACTGAACTTGGAGTAAACATTCAAGTACTAATCAAGCTCCATGTTGACAACAAATCTGCAATAAACTTTACAAAGAATCATGTCTCTCATGGAAGATCCAAGCATATTGAAACAAGGTTTCATTACATAAGGGAGCAACTGAACAAAGGAAGGTTGACAATGAGATATTGTCCTACCAAGTACTAGATTACTAATATCTTGACTAAGGTTGTAAAAGAAGAACAATTTTTTAAGCTGAAGATAGACATGAGAGGCATTTGATTCAGAGGTTGGAACAAATTCTAGATCACTAGCCTCTGAAACTTTTATAGCTTCTAAACCATCAATCTTTGAAGGAGTCAGAGTTGGAAACTACTTCTGAACCTTTGGAGTCTGAAGCAATTTTTGAAGAGTGGCTGGAGTCTAAAGACGTAAAGTCTGAAGTATCAGCTTCTTTTCTGTATTACTTGGTGAAAGTTTGAATCAAAGATGCATGTTGTATATTAATTCAAACTTAGTTAGTTATTTGTTACTCCATATGTATATATAGTAACTACTTGTGTAGTTTCGTAACAGCTTTCTCTAACAGAATTCTCTATTATTCAATATTCATCACTCTCTCTTTTCTTCTCTTACACTCCAACACTTGCTATCTTTCTCTCAATTAACTTCCGCATTCACAAAGTGTAATAACACCAATAAAACTGTCAAATTAATTACTGTTTCCCTTTAAATTTGCATCAACTTATAAACTAGTATTGGTCCTATTGAGATCTATGTTATGACGTAAGGCCTCGTCTGTTTTGAAATAACTGTCGTTTAAAATTTTTTCAGACAAATTAAAAAATGTAATAATGTTGTCATAAAATATTACACTTTTATTAAATTAATCCTATTAATAATTAGTTGGAAATAGTGTAAAAAATAATAATTAAAATATATAAATGGAAAACTAACAATAATTTCTATATTAAAAAATTTTAAAATAATCATTTTAAAATAAATTTTAATTATTAAAATAATAATCATTTTAAAACAGAAAGAGTATAACATCTGAATTTTTATTTAGTTCCCAATTGCCAGCACTACATACATATGACAGAATATTCAATGTAAGGATATTACATACACATACATGACAACTCATTATATCTTACTACTAATTTATATTTTAAATTAAGGATTCACTTCAAAGGAGAAAATACACCAAACCTATCGAAGAATTTCAATGGTGTAAAACATTACACCAATATTAATTCCTTTTAAAACTTTATCTTTTGTTGAAAAAAGAAAACTTAACTTATTCAAACAGAGAAATCCATTAACCCTTTAAACTTAAACAAGTGGAATTGACCAGCTATTTAGTGGCCAGGAGTTGTATTTGGCGGTGTTGCTGCAGAAGCCACACGCTTTCCTCTCTCAGAGCGACTATTCTCAGCAAACCTAAGACTTGATTGATGCAACCCTTTCTGTACTTCATCCTCATTCCATTCTGAAGTGTAATAGTGTTCTTCACTTATCTCTTTTGATGCTGGAAAAAACATTCCACCCCACTGTGGAAAATGAACAAGACTCACAGGAAGTGTGCATGCTACTATCATTGCACCCATTAAGGAAAGACCTGTTGATGTTGAGAATTTCGAACTTGAAAAAAATATCAACTGTGTTAATCCAGAACCGAAGTTTCCACCTGCACCAGTTAATCCTGATATAATACCCAAAGATCTTCTCGAAATGAAAGGAATGATTCCAAATGTTGCACCGCATGCAGCTTGTGCTCCTACTGAGAACAGAATCATCGACAGTACTGCAATTGGAAGTGTGTTGGCTCTTCCTAACCAAATGCAGAAAATTCCTCCAAGGGTTTGAAGAATCCATAGTGTCCATAATCTTCCTCTCATGCCGAATAATCTTGCTGCAACATCTGATGCATATCCGCCGAAAGGGCGGGCAACTAGGTTCGCCATTCCAAAGGATGCTGCAATGATTCCGGCTGTGTGTAGCTTTAGGTTAAACCTGTCATAGAAATACTCAGCAATCACATTATCCGTTGTTAATTCAACTCCCATCGAGTAACCGTAAAGCAGCGCAAAAATCCATGTCCTGTAATTTGTTATAGCATACCATAACACCTGAAAATAAAATATCCAAAACAAATTATTTAACTACTTTCAAATTTTTACTTATACATGTTCTCAAATTAAATAACTAATTAACTAACCTTAGTGAACTTGTCTTTAGCAACGTTACCCTTCTTCTGTAAAGCACCAAGGTTACCATCAGGTAAATCTTGGCCTAATGTTAAGACCATAATACCCATGATAACATGCAACCAGCCAGGGATAAAAAAGGCAATTCTCCAAGCAGTAAAAGGAGTAGCACCGGCTCTTCTAATCAATTCATAAACCAAAGGCATAATAAGTTGAGTGGCACCACCACCCATATTACCCCAACCAGCAGCAGTACCATTCACAAGACCAATTATCTTACTATTAAACATTGTACTCATCCAATATTGACATGAAACAAATGTTGCCAATGAAAAACCAATCATAAACCTAACTGCTATATAACCAGCAGCATCTTCAACAAATGACATACAAAACACCGTTGGTGCCGTTAGCATAATAAGAAAAGCACAGCCATAACGTGGACCTAACAGGTCACAAACTGCACCCATCATTAGCCTTGAGAAAATACTACCTGAAACGGAAGCGACGCCGGCGTTACCAACATCCGCTTTCGTGAGGTTAAGGTTGTCCCGGATGATAGGGACTAACGGCGCTGCTGCGAATGTGGAGACGAAGCAGGTGAAGAAAGATATCCATGATAAATGGAAGGTTCTCATGTGTGGATTGGCTAATGAAAAGAGTTTGAAAACTTTGGATTTGTGTTCAGAATCAACTGGTAATGGAAATTTGGCAGTGGTGTCAGTTGGAACCATAGGGGAAGCAACGGATGAAAGGAAGGTTTGTTCTCTTCCAGTAACTCCATGCATGGAGCTTCCTGGTGATCCCTCAATATCAGACATTGTTAATTATGGAAGTGATGAATGAATTGCTTTTGGTGAAGAATGAAAGAAGGGAGTGTGTTGTATTTATAGTATGGGAAAGCGTTGACAATGTAACTAAGAGCCAATTGTGTTCCCAATGGTTAATTAACAAAACATGATTAATTAACATAATCCACTTCGCCGCTTCTGACTAAGGGAAAAAGAGCTCATGGTATATCCCAAAGGTTCATATTTCTGACATCATCAACTCTGATTGAGATTCTTAGTTACTTCAATATACTCAAATAATATTTATATGTAAGATTATTCAGCGCTTTGCCTCTAATTGGAAATATCTGCCTTTAAACAAATTTTAAAAGATCCATATTTTACATAATTTAATATCATTTTGAAAAAAATGTATATGCTAAAAAAAATTAAATATGTTTGTGGTCTCCCTAAATAATTAATAATTTATTTTTAATTTTTATAATTTTTTTAATAATGGTTATTTTAAAGTTTTTCATTTATAATTTTAGTTATTTTCATCTACTTTCTCTAACAAAAGTTAATGTAGAAGTACACATGACACATTTTTTATAAAAATGGCGGAATAATCAATTGTCACGTTGGAATCTTTTTGATAATAAGTTGACATGTTGTATATATTTATTATTAATAAAATATCAATCTTTCTCATTTAAATGAAGCAGCGTTTGGGAAATTCGATATTTTCTTTGTCTAATTTGTCTAAACGTAATTCTTCTTCGTCTTCTTCTAACTCTCACACAAAAGCTCAACTAACTTCCTCACCCAACAATCAAATCAAAGATTTTTTCACGACGTCTTCCAAATCAAGGGTTATAAAACCCAGTTCCATGAAGAATGTGTAGGCGTGAAGTTCATATGGTGTCTTACTATTGCAAGAATGATCGTAATAAAGGAAGACTATTCTAAACATGTTCATTTTGGTAGTGTGATGATACATGTGATCTATTCATATGGGATAAAGATTTGGATGAAACTGGGTTTTATTGAATTCACCGCCCACACACACTTTCAGCTTAGCATTACAAAGCTTTTATATAGGCTTGAAGAAAACTGACAGAAAACTAAAGGTTGGTTATCATGATAAGGACTTTTTGGTTCTCTCAATCTTAATGATACAACTCTACCATAAATTTAAATAAAGACAATGGTTATAATATGATGGTTACAATTCTCTCATAATTCTTACTAAAGATAATGGTGGTCACAACACATTAATTTTAACACTCTCCTTTGATGTGTTGTCAAATTCTGAGTTTAGTTCAGAGTTGTTAACACCTTTCTCTTGGAAGTGCTTTTGTGAGGATGTTTCGGATTGACAAAACTCAAGTTGAATCTCTTTATCTTCTATTGCTTGTTGGATAAAATGATGCTTGAACGCTATATGTCGAGTTCGGCATTGGTGAACTGGGTTCTTAGCCATAACAATTGCAGACTTGTTGTCGTGGTACAACACGGTTTATTCATTTTGATGATGACTGAGATCGGCTAAAATTCTTCGAAGCCATATTGCTTGTGAGGTGGCTAGTGATATTGAGACACACTCGGCTTCGGCAGAAGATTGTGTAACACTTTGTTGTTTCTTGGATAACCATGAGAACATTGTTGAAACAAAAGAGAATTAGTATCCTGAGGTGCTTTTCTTGTTATCTAAGGATCCACCGAGATCATTATCACAATAATCGACAATGTTAAGTGCATGATTTTTTTGAAAGCTCAGACCGAGGTCGGATGCTCATTAGACATAACATAAGACACGCTTTGTTACACCGAGGTGGAAGTGGCTCAGACTCTACATAAATCTTGAGAGCATACTTCCAACATACATGAGATCAGGTCGGCTTGTTGTGATGTATAGCAGATTCCCGATGAGGCTCCGGTAACGAGTGACATCTAGTGTTTTTCCTCCATCTTCTTTCTTCAGCTTCTCCCCCATAACGAGTGGTGTAGAGATGGGATTGTGTCGCTTCCGCGAAAATAAGGTGTCGGCAAAGCAGAAGAGTCGCCACCTTTCGTTATTTATCCCTCAGAGCGGGAAAGGAAACGATCGGAAAAACCTGACGAAAAGGTATAAGACAAGGTCGTCGCAACCGTTGTTTGGGTTCGGGAGTCAGTACTGTGCCTACGTACTCTCAACAGGTATGAGAGATCAGAGCTTACGTAGTTCGGGACACTACGGATTACGGGAATTCAGATTCATCTGTTTTACCGAGTAGGGTTAAACAACAGTTCCAGCAGTTAGGGGCAAAGCCTGTTTGCGTTGGCGCTGAGTTTAACGACACTCTTTTCTTCAGAAAAGCTTTCCTTTGAATACGGGCCCACGGGGCAAAAGGGTTTGCAGTTTGTTTTCTGTCTTTTTACGGAAGAAGTGTTTTTTATTGTGTTTGCAATTTCAATCGCACTAAAGACTATGACCTGGGAGTGAATGCGTCGCATGTCACCCAAAGGGTGCCATACTAGACATCCAGACTGTTGAAAGAACTCTCCAACAATCCTTTCTTAGATAGCTTAAGGCTCGTAACGTACGAAAGAAATCATTCATGATTACTGTATCTTAAGTTGTTTTGAGATGAGAAGAGAACATACTCAACTACGGGGAAACTATCAAGTCCTACTTGTTGTCATGCCAAGGATTCATCCTATGGTTGAGGTTTGAAACAGGGAACTCCTATAAGTTATCATGCATAGGTTTCAACCTAAAGTTCTATCATCACTTCCTTATCAAAGGAAATGAGAGTCCTAAGGGATCATGTCAATGATAAACAGAAACAGATAAAGCATCAGCTTAAACAGTAAACAGTAATACAGTAAACGACTGTAAAATGCATGCAATGCAAGTGAGGGAGGAAATGTGTGTGGGGCAGCAGCCTCCACAAGCTCATCTCAACCTCAAGCCAGAATGAACAACAGTAATCATACAGAAGAAATAAAATAATGCTATCAAGCAAAATACAGTAAACTGCAATCATACAGAAGAAATAAAATCATGCTATCAAGCAAAACAAACCACATGGGCAAGGGAGCAGGGCTCTACCGAATACCCGCAAGCAAAGCCATACAGTAACAATACAAGCAGAGGGAGCAACTCAACCTCTAGTGCAATCATGCTCCTAGATTAAAGTCCAGATATGAACTTATTCTAATGCATCAAGCAAGTCAAACAAGGCACATCAATACAAAAAAGAAAACAGATAAGAAAGAAACAGATCAACAGCTTCCTACTTCAAGCCTCAGCTCTTCTCACAGCAACTCAGTCTTCAAACTTCAACACTCTTGACAAATATCAATTTGCTTCTCCAGGTTTCAACCCTTCAACATAAGTTTCAACTTATTCTTCTTCTTCAAGCTTCAGCTTTCCTTAATCAGTTTCACCTTCAGGCTTCACTCTTAACCACAAGTATCAACTTGATTCCTTTGTTCTTCAAGCTTCAGCTCTTCAGTCAATCTCAATTGAATCCTCTTCATAAGTATCAACTCAGTCTTCAAGCTTCAGCTCTCTTTGCTTTACCAGTCTCAACTTGGTCTTCTCTTCCTACAAGCTTCAGCTTCTCAGAGTAGTCCTCAATCATCTAGAAATATCAGCTTTATCCTTCAGTTTTTGCTGGATCTTCAAGTATCAACTTGCTCTTCTTGCTCTTCAAGCTTCAGCTGAAATGGCAATGCTCAAGGAATCGTCCTCTTCCATACTCTTTGTTAGACTAAGGCACGGATCTAGAAGGGGGGGTTGAATAGATCCCTTTTAAAAATTTGAGTGGCGCTACCAATAAAATTGGTTTTCAAAATTGTTTCAAATGCGGAAGCGGCCTTGGAAATATAGTCAACAACTATTGGAGAGCCGGATATGCGTCAAGCAGATGAATTTAAGACGATAACGGATAGTAAATCACTACACACTTTTATGCAAAACTCAGATGTGATTCACTCGTACTATTTCCTTATTCCGATGATCAAAAATTACACCAAAACTAGCAGCAAAATTAAGGCAATTTAGTTCAGCACTTTTGTCGAACAGTTGGTGTGCACAAAACTAGCAGCAAAATTAAGGCAATTTTAGTTCAGCACTTTTGTCGAACAGTTGGTGTGCACAAAACTAGCAGCAAAATTAAGGCAATTTTAGTTCAGCACTTTTGTCGAACAGTTGGTGTGCACAAATACCTTAAATGATATTTGTGTTGAATGAGTGATTGAAAAAGCCTTAGTACAGTATTTCTATTGTACTTAGTAGTTAAAAAACAGTGTTTCACCAACTCACTCAATCAATACTACAATTTGACAAAATCACTTATTCTAGAATCACTTAATTTTTAAGCTGTAATTGAAAATGCAGAAAATAAAGGAACACAAGATTTGATGAGGCAGTTCCCCCAGTCGTCCTCGCGTTGGGGTACGTCTGCCCTCAATTCTACAATGAGAATTGAGATATGTATTGAATAGATATCACCTGTTTGGTAGAACAGTTATACACAAGAATCGATAGACAATTGATACAAACAATCTTAATGTTGCTGATAATTTCTACCACTTCTTGCCCCTTGATTCAAGATGAATCAAGTCCTCCAATTTGATGTGAATGACCTCCGATTGCAGCCACCTTATTGACAACTCTTCCGTTGATCAAACCTTCGGCACGGCTGATCTTAGACACACCCAAATTGAACCCGGAAAGTCTTCAACCTTTCAACGCCCTAGCTACTAGATTGATCAACCTTCCGCTAATCAATCACCTTCGCACTCGCTTGATTGTTGAACCGACGATTCCGTAACAAAAGCCTTCAAAACCTGTAGTCTTGATAGGTAAAACCTCAAAGGTTTTCTCCCAAGAAACACCTGCACCAGCTTCCACTCGAACCGGATCTTCAATCACGCGTTCGAACCTTATCACCGTCGAGCAAACCACAAACCGCAGCAAAAAATTGATTATCTGTAATTTGAGGATTTGTGAGTTGATTGAACGATGAAGATGAAGAACACTGATGCACCTCTTTCACGTT